GATAAGGGTATTGAAGCAGTGCTAAAATTTCTGACACATAAAGTTACACGTGATGTACAGAGTTTTATTGGTCTATGTTCATACTTTCGAAAGTTTATAGAAGGATATTCAATAGCTAAACCACTATATGATTTTTGAAAAGAAAGGTCAAGTTTAAGTGTACAGAAGTGGAATTACATGCATTCGAAGCTTTGAAATCGAAATTGGTTACGGCTCCAATTTTAGCAATTTACGATCGAGGACTTGCGAGAAGGGAGTCACGGTGCTAAAACGGTGGTTGCCGTTGAAAGAATGAAGCCGTGGATTGCGGCAATTAAAGGATAAAGAATTGTTTGAGACCGGTAATGGATTGAATTCGTTTTTGATACGTCTCTTACAATTGTGACGAAAAAACTTAGGAACGATAGGTATATTTTATTGGATATTAACGGTTTTCAAAGTACACAGAAATGATATCAGGGTGTATGGGAGCCAAAAAACATGCGACTATGGGTGCATGCGAGTGCATCAAACAATGTTAATACTTGATTGAGAATATTAGATTATTGTATGTATGTGTGTGATTAAATATAATTTTGTTATTGGGATATAAGTTCTTCTGTATAACGTAGTCCGAGGACGGTCTATTGTCAGGACGGCCGAGTTGTAAGAGTAGTATATGTAAGAAGAGTATATGTATAATCTTTGCCGCGAGAACATAAACAATATGTTGCTGTTCGAAGCGGATGTTGATCTCGGATGACCAGAGTCGGCATCGAATTCTAAATAAGAAATTATTAGTCGATGAATACCCTGTTCCCAGACTCGCAGAATTATTTTCTTGTATGGTGTTCTCAAAAATCGATTTAAAACACGATGTCTCAACACTAGGACGGCTGTATCAAGAGTGTCTCTTTGGCCAAACCTTCTGGTTATCCTAGAACCTCCCCCATCCCCAGTATGACCTTCGTTCTATGCTGTATGGGCCTTTGTCAAGTCGCGTACCCTTAAAAGGCCTGCGTCGTTGGACACAGTCACCCCCCACTCTACTACGCGTTTTCGAATTTTCTTACACGAAGAGCAACAGAACTTGACGCTTTCACGAGGCTAATGTTCGGTACGGCATCCGCTCCTGCCACATGGCAACGTACGATAGAAGGAATTCTTCACGATATCGACGGGAGTTTTTCTAGACGATATACGTATTGCAAATCCTATAAAGGAGGAACACATTGAAAAACTAAATTTAGTCTTTAAACGATTACATCAGCATAATATTCAAATTAACTTAGAAAAATATGAATTTTTCAGAAGTAGCATTCATTTTTGCGGGTACATATGTAAGTTACTGGTTAGTAACTTAGGGGTTTTCAATTTAGGATTGGTCTTTTAATAATAGACACGTGTTAATGCCGAATAATTACTGTAAATTTAGTAACTATAAGTTAAAACTAAGTGTTGAGTAGATGTTGCGATTGTTGATTACCTGAATCAACAACTATGTCCCAATTTAGGATAAGATACCCACATGTGTTTTTAAATAAGCAAATGTCACAATTTATGAGACGTTCGTAGTCATGCGAACGTCTTGGGAGTTTTAAACCAACTGAGTCTGTGGTTGAGGCGAGGTAAACAGCGATGACAGTTTAACGTAGCTTCCCGTAACGACTCATTTGAAATGATTCACACGAGCGGCTAAGTTTGTAGAACACAACAAATTTACACATAATCGATAAAAACAGAATTAATAAAGATCCGTCAAAATACGCTGCAATTAAAGATATGCCTCGCCCGAAAAATAAATCGGAAGTACGAGCTTTCCTTGGTTTTGTCTTATAAAAAGCTTGTCAACAATTTTACACCCTATATACAATTTGTTAAAAGATAAAGTTCCTTTCAATTGGAATGAATAATGTGAAAACGCATTCATTCAGGCTAAACAAGCTTTTTGTGAAAATAAAATTCTCGCATACAGGGTGTTCCGGAAAGATTGTTATAGCCGAAAATGGCAGATGGGGAGGAGCATTGTGAACAACAATTTCCTTTGGTAAAATACGAAATGGGGCTTGGTTACCGAGTTATTAACAAAAAACACGGACCAATCAGAGCGCTCGGTTGAGGCGGTCTCCGTTTCGGGAGCGTTGGCTCGGAGACAGCCGGCCGACTTTTCTCGCGTTTGAACAAGCGCTCCGCTCAGTACGAAGCGTTTTAAGAAAATGACGAATAACAAACTACATTAATAACAATGCAAGGAAATTGTTGTTCGTTTGTTATTATGAATAACAATTAATACACTTAATCGTTATTCACGTGGAATGGATGAGATAGATTGTTGATAATTGATGAATGATGATAGGATAAATGAGGAATTAACAAGTCGCAGGGAATATTGAATTAAAAAGGAAATGTAAAAACTGTAGAGATTTAGACTTACCCATTCATTCGCAAGTGCACCTGCTAACGATGGGCCACGGTCAATGGGTCAGCGTCTTTGCCGCTCGCAGGTAGGCCACAGCTGATCTTCTGTTCAGGGAAGGAACCCCGCAATCCACCGCACGATCATTGTCACTCTTAAAAATTTTAACACACTAAGATTGTTGCTCCTACGTCCTATCAATAAACGTCTTTGAAAGCAGCCGATTGATTTTTATACACAAATGCACTTTCATTACACCACTGTCACTCTTCACTTAAAAATTTTCAAACACTTACACTGTCGTTCTTGCACTCTAACATTAAACGTCTCCGAAAGGAACCGATTGTTTTTCA